AGATGTTCTGCACCCAACTAAATAAAATCTGCTCTGGCAGTTATTCATGCCTTAGCAGGACCAATGACACCAAAATAACATCTGATTCTGCAGAAGCCTACCGAAAAATAGTGAAGTACTTATCAGAAACAAATGCGAATTTTCACACTTACCAGCTGAGGCAGGAAAGAGCTTTACGAGTAGTGATAAGAAATTTACACTCCTCAACCACCACTGAAGTTATTAAAGAAGAACTAACGACGCTTGGTTTCAATGTACGCCAGGTAACAAACGTTTTGAAGGAGGACAGAGAGCAGCCAGGATTACGAAATAGGATCCCACTACCTTTGTTTTTCGTGGACTTGGAGCCATCACCAGGTATCGAAAAAATATATGATATCACAAGAATATACTACACAATGGTGAAAGTTGAGAAGCCATACCCCAAGAGAGACATCGTGCAGTGCCATAATTGTCAGACCTATGGCCACACGAAGACATATTGCCACCATCTGCCGCGTTGCGTGAAGTGCGGTGAACAGCACAAATCTGTAGAGTGCACCAAACCTATACAAGATCCAGCAGTATGTGCCCTATGCTTGGAGGGACACCCGGCCAACTACGAAGGCTGCCAAATTTACAAGAATCTCAAAACCAGACACCAGAAAAACCGGATTCAAGATGAAGCACTAAGAACAAGAAGAGAGAGAGAGCCTTCCAGAATTGTAAACAATGATGTATCATTCTCCCAACTACTTAGAGGTAAGACTTTAACCGATAAATGTCAAGCCCTGCCACAACAACAACCTCAAACCCAACCTCAAAATCCTCTTCATCCTAATATACCTAACCACCAACAACAAATTCCTCATATTCCTCCTCCTTCAAATGCAACAGATCTCACAAGTTTGTTAGCATCTTTCCTCACCGATTTCAAATCCCTTGTTACTCCACTCATATCACTCCTCACGAATCTCGTATCTCACCTCATCCCTCCTTTGAAAAATCCTTAAATGACTCACATCCCTAAACCCATATCCATTCTCCTTTGGAATGCGAATGGTGTTAGAAATCATACAGACGAACTATCTACTTTACTACTTGACAAGAACATTGATGTGGCACTAATTACTGAAACTCGACTAACCACTAAACAGCACTTCAATATACCACAATACCTGACATATCGTACTGACCACCCTGACGGAAAAGCACATGCCGGTACTGCTGTAATTGTACACCAATCCCTCTCCCATCACGTACTCCCATTACCAATACATGATTTCCTACAGTCCACCGCTATCGTGATAAAAACCTTCTCCTTTCCGGTCACTCTTGCATCAGCGTATTGCCCTCCTAACCGATCCATATCCAATGCCCAATTCAGTTCTCTCCTCGACTCCTTAGGACATCACTTCATCTTGGGTGCAGACCTAAATGCCAAGCACCAACAATGGGGTTCCAGCACCACGAATTCTCGTGGCCGCACCCTGCTGTCTGCCCTCAAGTCCCCACCTTTTCCCCTCCTGTCCCCCCCCTCTCCTACCTCCTGGCCCACAGATCCCAACCGTAATCCTGATCTTCTTGATTTCTTTATCCACAGCGGCTTAAGTCCCCTCAATTGTTCCATTACACGTCTAAATGAACTTTCCTCTGACCATAGTCCTCTAATCCTTAATGTTTCACTTGAACCTGTTCCCAAACCTTCTCCACCGTCATTCATTAGGGGCCCAGTAAACTGGGACCTTTTCCGCCAAATAATCTCCGATAATATTGATCTCAACATATCCCTCAAAACTCCCGATGACCTTGATAGTGCCGTAAATTCCTTTACTACCACAATCCAACAAGCCGCCTGGACTGCCTCCTTCCCAAAAGACTCCTCCAGAATTCCTATAAAGACCATTCTACCCCAACACCTCCTTAACCTAATCCGCACCAAACGCCGTGCCAGATTATTATGGCAACGTACCCGACATCCTACCGACCGCTGCTCCTATAATTACTACTGCAAACAATTAAAACTGGAATTAGCCACCTTCAGATCACAATCCTTCAACTCCTACCTATCCTCCCTCTCTTCTCGCGACAATTCCCTTTGGAAAACCACAACAAAAATCCTAAATCCTCACCGCATTTCCCATCCTCTCCGACGAGGTGATGGCTCCTGGGCAGCATCTGACGAAGATAAAGCTGAGGAGTTCGCCATTCACCTATCCAATACATTTATTTCACATCCGGAATCCCATCCTGCCCACACCGTAACAGTAGAAGAACTCCTTACATCACCAATCCCACTTTCCTTGCCCCCAAAAGCTATTCATCCTTCCGAAGTAAAATTTCAATTAAAAAAACTAATCCTCCGTAAAGCTCCTGGACATGATCTCCTTACACCTCAAATCCTTCGACAACTTCCATCCAAAGCAGTCATATTCCTTACATATATCTACAATTGTATCCTACGCACCACCCACTTCCCTCTGTTATGGAAACACTCCACTATTATCCTTTTCCCAAAACCAGGAAAACCTCTCAATAGCTCAACATCCTATAGACCAATCAGCCTACTCCCAATCCTTTCAAAAATTTTTGAAAAGATCCTTTTGAAACGAATCCTACCCATTATAGAATCCCAAAATATCCCTTCCCATCAGTTTGGTTTTCGCTCTCAACATTCTACTGTTCAACAAGGACTCCGAGTTGTTGATCATATTTCCTCAGCCCTAGAAAACAAGGAATACTGTTCGGGTGCCTTTCTGGACATTGCACAGGCATTTGACCGGGTATGGCACTCCGGACTGCTCTCCAAGCTTAAAATCCATTTACCTCAGTCCTTGTACCTAGTCCTCCGATCCTACCTCTCTGACCGCTCCTTTCGAGTTCGCTGTGGAACAGAATTTTCCAATATCTACTCCGTTAAAGCCGGTGTTCCCCAAGGCAGCGTCTTGGGTCCCGTGCTTTACATCCTCTTTACTGCTGACATCCCTGTTCATCCCGATACTTTTCTTGCAACATTCGCTGACGACACCGCAATCTTATCATCCAACTCTGATCCCGAAATAGCATCCTTAAATCTCCAAAGTCACCTCACCTTGATTGAGCACTGGTGTAATAACTGGCGCATTAAAGTTAATGAATCTAAATGCCAACATATTACCTTTACACTCCGACGCAATTCCTGTCCACCAGTACTCTTTAATTCCATCCAGCTTCCTTATTCAGACACAGTCCGGTATCTTGGCTTTCATTTAGACCGAAGACTAACTTGGAACCCGCATACTAGACTCAAAAGACAAGAACTCAACCGACGATACGGCCAACTATACCGACTACTAAGCAGAAAATCTAAACTTTCCATTGAAAACAAGCTACTGATCTACAAGACAATACTGAAACCTATTTGGACTTACGGACTAGAACTGTGGGGATCAGCAAAATTTTCTAACATCAAGCGCATCCAATCCTTCCAGTCTAAAGTCCTTCGAACAATAGTCGATGCTCCTTTCTATGTATCCAACAAAACCCTACATCATGACCTTAACATCCCATTTGTCCTAGACCTTATCCCAGAAAAATTCTCCAAATTTCACCAGAACCTTACTTACCACCCAAATCCTCTTGCACAATCCCTATCAAGCATCTCCCATCCCTATAATCCTCCAAGAAGGTTGAAACGGCAGTGGCCTCGCGACCTTTTGTAGATTATATAAATTGGAGTTCTGGCAATGGCCAGATTCTTCACTCAAGACATGTGTGTATGTGGCTAAAGTGCTCTCGACCAATCTCCGCTGGCTTTAGTACCAGTGACGCGGTTGGGAGAGTAGCGCAGGGTTCTCCTTGAGTTCCCTCGCCTGATTGTATATAGGTATGCATGTGTTTTTTTTTTTTTCCTTAGTTTTAATTTTCTTATTTTTTGGTTATTTTATTTTATTGTCTATTGTATATACTTTTGATTATTATTTTGTTCTATTTACTTTATTTTTTGTACATATGGTGTGAATGTCATCCTACCTCACTATAACCAATGTCCAACAGACAGATTGTTATAATACTCAATAAAAAAAAAAAAAAAAAAAGAAATAGAAGTATATTCTTCAGATGTTTTATTTCAGCATGTTTTGCGTTATTTTTGTTTGTTTAATTACAAACGACGCTTGATTTTCAAGATGAAACTTTTTTGGTTAAAAAAATTGACTTTACTGGTGTTTTTCATTGCTTAAACCAATTATTTTTTAATATTTTTTGGTGTTTAATTATTCTCTAACTATGCAACTTTAATAAAAGACAAACTATGACGAAATTAAGTCAAATGCTGATTATCAGTGACCAAAAAACTAACTAAAGTCGAAGTCGTCAATTCGCCATGTTTGGACGCCTTTTTGGGACAGTGCGTGCACGGTTTTTTGTGGGCCCATTAGCTTTTTTTAAATAAATAGATACAAGGAACACAGCGAAAAGCAATTTATAGGGATGTGGGGAAGTGCACGGTAGGGGGTCTGGCCGACAGATTAAAAGTGACACTTCCAGTTAGACGATTTTAAGGAAAAAATTGCTGTAACATCTGGGTCATATACACTATCTTACGTAATGTCAGTTTTGTACGACTTTTTGAGCTAGAGAGTTCACGTACACACACACACACAAACCATTTTGCGAGACTTGGTTATTTTGACTCAGGGGATTACATATATAGGGAAGTGAAAGTAAAAATTGTTTATTTCGATATTCGATCATCGGCACACAATATATACTGAACACTTTGCATAATTCAGTTCACACTTCAGGATTTCGGAGAACTGTCGTCATCATACTCTTTCGGCCTCGACCTTTCATGGAATTATAGGTACAAATGTAATTAAAATTATTGTGATCCAGATGTGGCAAATGTAAACTAGTATCGATATTAAGACTTTTATAGAGAACAATGAGACACTAGAATTGATGTTAGAATAAACTATCTTTTTAAGAAATTAATAAAATCTTTTTAATATTTTCATTTTGATTTCTATCTGTTTATTCAGGTGTAATGGCAGAAAGACATGTAGTATCTTCATTTCAAAAGATGAATTCGGAACTCTTTGTGGATATTACAGGAATTATATTTTTGTAAACTATATCTGTAGACGTAAGTTATAAGAAACACTATTTTTTCAATTGTTAATATAATCATAGTAGATGTTAATAGGAAAAAAAGTATACTACTAACATGGCTACTTGTTATTGTGGAAATAACAAGACCAAGTTGGCTTTTGTATTTTTGGTGCCCTAGGCAGAAATACTTCTGCTCTACACAACCTCTTTCCCATTTCTCTTTTCCATCCCTAAAATAACGCAACTTTGTGATCGTCAAAACACCATCTCGTTGTTTCCATTTGCTTTAAATTAAATATAAAATAAAAAAATATGAGCACTATCCCAATTATTTTAAAGTGCCAGAGGGCGTAACTGCTAATAGTTATTCCCATTTTGCAATGTACAACTTCTTTTAGTAGTTTCGACTTACAAGTGAAGTAAGTGCTCTGTTATTGTGGTTTATTTATTTTTTTTATAAATTTATATATTTATTTTTTTTTATATTTGTTTATTTAGAAATATTACATTCTGTCACATCAAGGACATTTATAATAGTGTTCAGAGAAAGCACACTCACACTCTATTTACAATAAAAAAAAAAAAAATAATACAGAAACTTAATAATAATAAATACAATAAAATAAAATATAAAAATAAATACAATAAAATAAAATAAATGTATATAAACAAAAGAACTAACCTAATCATACACACTCGGGCTTGAGTGGAGGATCTGGCCATTGCCAAAACTCCAATAGATGCTTATTTACAAAAGGTCTCTGGGCCACTGCCGCTTCAACCTTCGAGGAGGATTGTAAGGATGGGTGGTGCTGGATAGAGATTGTGCAAGGGGATTTGGATGATAGGTAAGGTTCTGGTGAAATTTGGAGAATTTTTCTGGAATAAGGTCTAGGACAAATGGGATATTAAGGTCATGGTGTAGGATTTTGTTATTTACATAGAACGGAGCATCAACTATTGTTCGAAGGACTTTAGATTGAAAGGATTGAATACGTTTGATGTTAGAAGCTTTTGCTGTCCCCCACAGTTCAAGTCCGTATGTCCATATAGGTTTCAGTATTGTCTTGTAGATAAGTAATTTGTTTTCAATAGAAAGTTTGGATTTTCTGTTTAGTAGTCTGTATAGCTGGCCGTATCGTCGGTTGAGTTCTTGTCTTTTGAGTCTAGTATGTGGGTTCCACGTTAGTCTTCGGTCTAAATGAAAGCCAAGATACCGGACTGTGTCTGAGTAAGGAAGCTGGATGGAATTAAAGTGTACTGGTGGACAGGAACTGCGTCGGAGTGTAAAGGTAATATGTTGGCATTTAGATTCATTAACTTTAATGCGCCAGTTATTACACCAGTGCTCAATCAAGGTGAGGTGGTTTTGGAGATTTAAGGATGCTATGTTGGGATCTGAGTCGGATGATAGAATGGCGGTGTCATCAGCAAAAGTTGCCAGGAAGGTATCGGGATGGACAGGGATATCGGCGGTAAAGAGGATGTAAAGGACGGGACCCAATACGCTACCTTGAGGAACACCTGCCTCAATTGGATAGCAATGCGAAAATTCAGTACCGCAACGAACTCGGAAGGTACGATCTGAGAGGTAGGAACGGAGAACAAGGTACAAGGACTGAGGAAGATAGTTTTTCAGCTTGGAAAGAAGCCCGGCGTGCCATACCCGGTCGAAAGCTTGAGCTATGTCCAGAAATGCACCCGAGCAATATTGCTTGCTTTCCAATGCTGCGGAAATATGATCAACCACTCGGAGTCCTTGTTGGACTGTAGAGTGTTGTGAACGAAATCCGAACTGATGGGAAGGAAGAGTTTGGGATTCTATAAAGGGTAGGATGCGTTTCAGGAGGATCTTTTCAAAGATTTTTGAGAGAATCGGAAGAAGGCTAATTGGTCTGTAGGACGTTGAGGTGTTGGGAGGTTTGCCTGGTTTCGGAAACAGGATAATAGTGGAATGTTTCCACAAAAGAGGAAAGTGGGTGGTTCGTAGGATGCTATTGTATATGTATGTAAGGAATATGACAGCTTTAGGAGGGAGTTGTCTAAGGATCTAAGAGGTAAGGAGGTCGTATCCAGGTGATTTACGCCGTACGCCGTCTGACCGAGTCCTCTTAGTGGGCACCTTACTGGACATCACTGGCTGACAATGCCGCATATCATATATATATATATATTTTTTTTTTTATACTATTTAATTTATTTCTTGTTTATTATAAATATGATAGAAATGAATTCCTGTGTCACTATTACTAATGCCTTTAGCTGTTACAGAATGTAAAACAATTCCATAAAGAAGGTAGGAAAAAAAAAAAAAGAAAAGGGAAGTGCAAGATTAATTATTAAATAAACTTGTCTTTTAGATTTTTAAAAATGGAAATCAATGATACTTTTTAATTCAGTATACGAAAAAAAACCTTACGTTGAAAACATTATCCAAAGATAGACTTCAGGAGAGAAGGATCAAAATACTTAAAGCCACGTAATTACCTTTTCGTTTGAAGATTTGTATCTAGTGCCGTCTTGGGGTATTCTTTCAACCTTTTATTATTTTGACCTTTCTTATACATAAAATCCAACAGAACGCAAGTTAAAGGTTGGTGTCGACATATAGGATAGTTTCGTCGGGGATTATCAAAGCATATAGGAACAGTGATGCCGAAATATAAAAAAAGGCCAGAGATTTTGTAAGAGTGAATAACTGTTGCCGAATCCCATATTCCCATCTTGCAAAAGTAATGAAAGAAAGAGAATAAAAAAAAACATGATGTCAGGTTTTTTTGTTTTTTTAATTTATTTACTTTCTATGTTTCAGATCCTGGTGATACTAATGTACCGGATTTCGTACATTCAGGTAAATTCTTTCATATAAGTTACATAATAACTTACAAATTTACACTCTATAAAAACTATATGCAAAATACAAAAATATGTAGTTTATCTTATAAATTTAACAGCTATAATTTTTCTAACTTTTTAATAATTTTAAGAGTTAAGAAGAATCTGAGCAAGAAACCATGTTTTGTTGTTCAGTATATTACACAGTGTTTGAGCAATAATTGAAATGTGCAACGAGGACCCGTGCTTGCATAAGTACCTTAAGTCCATTTGAGTCCAGTGCAGACAGTTGCAATGCTGAAGCATTAGTGTGCCGAGACAACAAATTTCAAAATCAGGCGCTATAACTTGGTCAAAGCAACATATCCCAGGGATGAACCACTACATGACAGCGAAAAACAAGATTTTCTAAGCACACCACAATGTAATACAAGAATGTCCGATATCTGCCCGGAGACAAAGATGATCAGCTTCTAAAATTACATAATAATTACTACTCCCTGAGGTGAGATTCGAATGAGGAATTTTTTAATATAGCAACCTCCTATCAACGGGTGACAGAGAGATGTTGGGGAGATTGAAGCAGTATTTCTTGCTGTTGATTTGCCATACCGTTGTATGACAGTACACGACAAATGTGTGAAGATTGCTGGATAGAGAGATGCTGATTTCTGATGAGTTTAGACATTGGATAAAAATGCATACTTAAAATAAAAAAGGGTGATGCGAAGACCCGGGTATTAATAGTGTGGTGTGATGTGAATGACCATGAAAAAAATATGAGAATGACTCCGCTTGCCTCATGACTTCCATTTTTTACTTGGGCAAATTTCACCATCGTAGAAAAAGAAAGGCTGAAGATACGTCCAATTGAATAACGTGATTGTTATATAAAAGCTTCTCTGCAATGAAATTGGCAGAAAGGACTCATTTTTCATCATGTTTCATAAAAGTATTCCTTATTGACAGAACCCTCAAGCAGAGTTAGAGGAACGGCTGTGCATAGACCGATATATATAGCATCCGATATACACTGACAGGCAAAAAATTCCACCCACTTGTAAAAAAAGTTGTATTTGTATATAATACATGGTATTTGTAGATAATACTTAGTATTTATGGAATTTTATAATCTGTTTTACCTTTAATAATCTAAATGTGATTGGGTAAGAAATATTAGAGAAAAAATTGAAAAACCATTATTATTCTAAAAGAAATTAATTATATCATCGTCTAGTAGAGCGTGTTTCCTCCTCTTGCCTTCACTAATTCTTGCCTTCTTGAAGACGCCTCGGCGTACTTTCCACCAGTCGGGAAATGTCCCTTTGCTGGAGAATAGCCCATTCCTCTCGAAGAGCCCTTTCAAGATCCTGCAGTGTATCAGGAAGTGTTGCATGCGCTCTTATTCGTCTTCCGAGGTTATCCCATAAATGCTCAATGGGGTTCAAATCTGGCGAACGTGCTGGCTAGGCTAAAACCTCAAAATTGTTCTGTTGAAGGAACGTCTGCACTATGCGGGCGACTTGTGGGCGTGCATTATCGTGCATTAGAATAGAACGATCGCCGATTTCGTTAAGGATAGGCAACACATGAGGTTCCAAAATCTCATCTACATAGCGAATGGCCGTCAAAGACCCTCCACGAACAACAACCAATTCTGTGCGGCGCTCCATTGAAATCCCAGCCCACACCATTAAGGAACCACGTTGGAAAGGTTGGCTCTGGGAAAAATTACAGGCTGCATATCTTTCGTTTCTTCTTCTCCACACCCTTTCACGCCCGTCTGGAGATCGAAGAGCGAATCTTGACTCATCTGTAAAAAGTACAGCACTCCATTCGTCCATAGTCCAATGGCTGTGTTCTCGAGCAAAAGCCAGCCGTGTTACTCTGTGAGTTCTGGTCAACTCTGGTCCTCTTACTGGACGAAAAGCCATTAATCCATACTCATTTAATCTTCTCCGAGCGGTACGTTCAGAAATTTGCACACCTCGAACTTCTTCGAGCTGATGAATCGCTTGAACAACGGTAAGGTGCCGGTTTCGTAAAATTCTCAAAGTCAAAAACCGGTCATCCCGTGGTTCTGTTACCCTAGGCCGTCCAGAACCGGGCCTTCTATTGTAAGAACCAGTTTCCCGAAAACGCCTGACAGCGTCTCGTAAAGTTTCATATGGAACTCCGATGACATTAGCTGCATATCTAATGGAACGTCCATCATCAATAAGTGCCACACCACGCGCAACATCCTCAGCACTAAGAGGCATTTTTAAACTTAATATTGAAAAAATTAAAAGCCGGAGACTAAGAAATGTGCTGCAAGAAACGGCACTGAACTAATGATACTGAATAAACATTTTGATTCCATAGAAAGTAAACATTGGAATCTAGAATCATTTCATTGAATTAAGTATTAAGGGTTATTGTCCTATATATTAACATTCCTAATTGAAAACAAACAAAAAGAATACCTATTTATTCATTAAAAACAATACACCAATCCAAAGCAGAAATATTTTTAGATGAAAACATGAAAAAATCAAGTGGGTGGAATTTTTTGCCTGCCAGTGTATGTAGAGTCATGATGATATATACCACCCTTTAATTCACTCATTATAAAACATTTTTGAGTTTATTCATTTTTCTTGTGTTGAGCATGATACCAATATATAATATATATGCATAAATTTAAATACACATATACACTAAAAAAAAAAATCTATGTGTTTGAAGTTCTTTCTGGATGATCAAAATCTCTCTCTCTCTCTCTCTCTCTCTCTCTCTCTCTCTCTCTCTCTCTCTCTCTCTCTCTCTCCTCTCTCTCTCTCTCTCTCTCTCTCTCTCTCTCTCTCTCTCTCTCTCTCTCTCTCTCTCTCTCTCTCTCTCTCCTCTCTCTCTCTCTCTCTCTCTCTTCTCTCTCTCTCTCTCTCTCTCTCTCTCTCTCTCTCTCTCTCTCTCTCTCTCTCTCTCTCTCTCTCTCTCTCTCTCTCTCTCTCTCTCTCTCTCTCTCTCCTCTCTCTCTCTCCTCCCTCCCTCCCTCCCTCCCTCCCTCCCTCCCTCCCTCCCTCCCTCCCTCCCTCCCTCCCTCCCTCCCTCCCTCCCTCCCTCCCTCCCTCCCTCCCTCCCTCCCTCCCTCCCTCCCTCCTCTCTCTCTCTCTCTCTCTCTCTCTCTCTCTCTCTCTCTCTCTCTCTCTCTCTCTCTCTCTCTCTCTCTCTCCTCCCCTTCCCCCTCCCCCCTCTTGCCCTGGTGATGTGCCAGTGTTACCTCCCTTTGCTGCTCCTTGTCCATTAATGTTTTAACCAAGTATTTACATTTAACAAATGACCTGTCGACACCTATTTTCTCTGCCCTCCAGAGTTTCTTGATCTTTTCCCAAATGGTTGCATTGTCTACATACAGATGGTGAATTTTCGCCGGCTCCTAGGCATCGTGCAAAGCCTTGCAAATCTGTTCCTCTTTCACCCCTGGTTGGGACCAAATGGTATTAATTTTCTTCTTCCCATATTTAGTGAAGTCGATCTTCATAAGCCCCGACGTTCTGGTCTTCCAAATCACTTGTCGTCGCTTATCGTTAATGATCTCCTCACACTCCTCCATGTCGGTAGGCCTTTCATCCACCGAGCTCTCTTCTCCTCTCGATTCCTCTGTTCTCGCATCCCCGGGTTCCCCTTCACCTTCCGGTGTCCATGCTCTCAAAAACTGCCGCACGTCCCGCGACGACCCCCCTTCTTCCTCCTCAATGGCATTTATCATTACGGCTCTGGACAGCCAGTCCGCTACTATATTCTCCTTGCCTGGCTTATACCTGACCTCCATGTTATATTGACTCAGGAACTGCTTCCATCGCGTGACCCTTGCCGATGATTCCTTCAGGTTGCCCACCCACTGCCACGGTTTGTGATCGGTATGCACTTTAAACCTCCGACCAAAAATATACGGTCTAAAATGGCCGACCGCCCATACTATTCCCAAGAGTTCCCTTTCCAGGGCGCTATACCTTGTTTCCGCTTCTGTGAGTCGCCGACTCGCATACGCTATAGGCTGTTTCCCATCCGTTCCTTCCTGCGCAAGTACTGCTCCCAACGCATACTCACTTGCGTCAGTGGTGATAATAAAACCCTTGTTAAAATCGGGAAAAGCAAGTATCGGCTTTTCTTGCAACCTTTCCATGCACTTCCGCACGTTGTTCTCTATCGCTGGTGTTATTGCGATCTTCCAGCCTTTCTTTAGGTGATTATTAAGAGGTGCTAGATATTCCGCCATCTCCGGAACAAACCGACGATAATAATTCAACGTCCCCAATAATCTCCGGATCCCCTTGACATCTCTGGGCATCGCCATCTTTTGTATCGCCTCTACCTTCTGCTTATCAGGCTTGATCCCTTCCCTCGAAATCGAATGTCCCAGAAAATTGATCTCATCCTGCCCCAGAATCGACTTTTCAGCAGACAATTTTAACCCCAACTGCTTCACTCTGTCAAATACGCGGCGCAAATGATCAATGTGTTCCGTTTCATTTTTACTGAAGACCAGGAGATCATCCATATATACCTGGCAGAATGCTTCATCCAGTCCCCTCAAAAATTCGTCCATAAACCTCTGGAAGGTTATAGGAGCGTTTTTCAACCCGAACGGCATGCGAGTAAACTCATAATGCCACCTTTCGAATGAAAAAGCTGTCTTATGTTGATCCCTGGGGTGCATACGTATCTGGTGATAACCTGCCTTTAGATCGAGAGTGCTGAAGATTGTGGCTCCGCTCAGTCTGTCAATGATGTCTTCAAATCGTGGTAGCGGGTATTTCTCATCCAAGGTATTGTCGTTGAGCTTCCTGAAGTCTACCACTACCCTATACTTCTCCTCCCCTGTCGTGGTCTTCTTCTTCACTGCCCATAGGGGACTGTTGTACGGTGACGTGCTATCCACGATTATGCCTTGCTTCTTCAAGCTCTCTATCTCTTCCTTGATGTGTCTCCGTAGCGCTTGTGGATAACGTCGTTCCTTAACGTATGTCACTTTCTCCTGTTTTAAAGGAATTTCATGGACCGTTTTTCCTGTTGCAGTCAACACTTCCCCGTCTTTAAAAAAAATATTCGCGTACTCCCTCTTTATCCTCTGTACCCAATGTTCCGCTTGTTCTATTGCCCCGACATTCCCTGTCCCATCCACCCTCAATCGCTTACACCGATACTTCTTCCCTCCCATTCGAACAACCCAACCTGCACTCCTGTAATCTATCCTCGGCCTTACCTTACTCAATAAGTCACAACCTATTATGCCTCCGTACTCTCTCGGCATATTCTCCACCACGTGAACCCTCAATTTCCCGATTCCGGCCACCCATCGATCCAGATCTAATTCTACCTCCCCCTCGACTCTACAAGGACCACCCAAAGTAATCAACTTACACTTACAATTTCTTATTTCTGGTATCCTCTCTCCTTTACACAATTCCTCCAGCATCTTTTTACATAATATTGTACTGGAACTCCCCGTATCTACCAAACACTTCCCCCTCCCCACAACACTTATAATTGGCAAACCAACGCACTCACCTCCAATATTATTTACTACCGCGTGGCTGCCTCACCTCTGCTCCTCTCCTCATTCGTCTGATCTTCCTCTCCTGTCCGCAACGGCTCCTCCTTCTCCACTCCTCCTGCTAATTCTTCCTCCTCGAGCTCTTCTTATCTCCGTCTCCTCTTCCTCGGTTCCAGATGTCCCTGATGACTCATCTGACTCCGATACTGCTCCTCTCTTTCTCCACAATCTCTGGGCGTTCACTTCCATTGGTTCATCCCGGCCCACGTCTCCCCGTCTACTCATATACGGGCATTGTCTGGCAATATGTCCCTCGGTTCCGCATTCGAAACATCTGGTTCGTGGGCAATTCACCACTAGGTGGCCTATCTTTCCGCACCCGTGACATCTCCTGTCTTCCTTTGTCCATTTCTTCCTTTCTTTGCCTGGCTTTCTCTCTCTCATTGCCGGCCTTTCTCTTGTACTAACCTCTCCTCTTCTTTTCTTCCACCCCTCCTGTCTTGCTCTGAACCTCCCGGTTTCCGCCCTCCTATACGAAACCCTGTTCCATCCATACTCATTCTCTTCATCCCCACGGGCTGCTTCTTCATCCCGAGCACTTGCATCTATCATCTCTTGAGCACACTCCACAAAGCTCTTGTCCCTCGGTAGTCCATCCTTCTTTCCAGTATCTCTCACTAACTGAACTTTAAGGATGGTTGACAAAAATGCCATCCTGGCTCCCGTTTCCACCGCATCAGCCACTTCCCTCGTCTTCTCTGTTACGTGGTTAAATCGTGCCAGCAGATTTGCAGCATATTGCCCGTTGGTCTGATGAGGCTGTTTCTTTTCCCGGAACATCTGCAAGATGTCCTCCTCGGGCGACCATCGACCTCCTCCAAACGCCTTCTTCAGCCGATCCTTCACAACATTGCATGGAGTGTCTTCATCCGCCTGAATCATATTCAGCACGCTCCTCTTAACCCGGCATACCAAGGCTGCCCTTAATGCATTGGCGTCCATCGGGTCTATCAGGTTTTCCTCCTCCTTAGCCAATATACGCGATATCACCCGATCGCCATCTTTTAGGAAGTGATTCAACTCACCCACTCCTCCATCGAATCTTTCCAAGTCGGATATCGCTCTCCTAAGGTCCTGCGACGTCGCCGTTCTCACCTTCAACCACTCTAACGTAGTTGCATGTGCTGATGCCAACGTTTCCGTAGGTAGTGGAGGAAAATCCCTCGCTAACGCCTCTGATCGAGCCTAGAGGACTTGCCTGAAAAGTCGAGCTCCTGTTAACTCCGACTTGTCTAATACAAAATAGAGATGTTCACTCTGGTGTCTTCGTTACAGTCCGTCCCTCTTAGTATATATAAAATAAGATATCGGTCACTAATTTTTTTAGTGTCGCCTGTACTACCTGCTGTGCTACCTGTTGCGCGGTGGATGCTGGTGGTTGCCCTATTCCGTTCGGCATCCTTCCTCTTTTTTATTTCTTGTGACGTTAATAACAACAACGAAAAGAAAGAGAAGGAGAAAAAAAACTACTTCCCCGACTGAATCTAAAGGTCCCGGGTTTCGTCACCACTTACGTCAGTTTGAACAAGAAATAATAAAAAAAAGGGAAAAAAGGATCCGAAATGAAACACGTGGTTACTCAAATAATACTGACTTTATTGCCTTAGTAATGCCATATATATAGTATTACACTTTGTTTACACTTCAAAAATAGGATTAACTTAGGATTAACTATTATATTGTCTTACCTCTAACCATAACTTGTATATATATATATATATATATATATATATATATATATATATATATATATATATTTACAAATTTTCTTTGATCGTCCTTTGAGTATTAAATTTAAAAGTAATTATTTAATTGGGAATAAGATCACTTATTAATTATTATTAATTACCCTATCAACAGATAATGGGTCTCCCGATGGGACTTTCGAGTTCCCCTATACTCGTGGAATTTGTAATGGATGATTTAGTAAAGATACTTTCTACAATTCCTATGTAGGTGCAATTTATAAAAACATACGTGGATGATACCATATATATAAAATTTACAATGGAAATTGAGAAAGTTGTCTTTCTCATACCTGTATTACATTTTTAGATACAGAAATGTACCGCTCTGGGAGTGATATAAGAGTATCGTGGTGTGAAAGAAAAAATCATGGAAATCGAATTTTAAATTATATATCATGCCACGATTTAAGTATAAAAATTAATGCTACAAAAAACCTATTTCATAGTGCTATTGCTCTAAGCTCAATTTCTTTTAAAGAAGAAAATATAAAAAGAATAAAAGAAATATTGAAAGGCAATAGTTACCCTTAGAGCGTAATTGAAAAGTGCCTGCGAGGAGCGTATGACTGTTTGTCACACCATCAGAATAAGCAGAACAATGCAAAAAAATATTTTTCGATGGAATTCATAAAACCATTGTCATTTAAAATAAAAATAATTTTTCGGGGCCACAATGTCAGTATTGGGTATAAATACAAAAGCCTTAAAAACTCCCTCTTCTCACAACTCAAAGATCGGACCAGCCGAGAAAAACTAGCCAATGTTATTTATGATTTAAAATGCTCAGATTGTGATGGAAAGTACGTCGGACAAACCTCAATTTCCAATAGCTTTATACAAAGTAGATGCAATTTTCATTGTTTTGTATGTTTGCCTTCGGGCTCAGGAACGGGGGTGGACAGACGCTTAGTGTTTTAGTAGCTTAATATATATGCAGGTGGACAGTGCTGAGACTGTCAGTGTGTCTCTGGCCTGAGGTATCGAAGTTCTATTTTAACTGTATTAACAATTAAATAATTATGTATATATATATATATATATATATATATATATATATATATAATATCTTAATCTCCTTTTCTTATGAAAGCTAATACATTTTTTTATTATTTGCATTTCAGATACAGTGTGGGTTCAAATGTCACCAGGTAATTGATTTCATGATGTGTTTAATGTTCAAATATTTTTCAATGATTTAATTGTATTGCTTGTTTAATAGGACCGCCCACCGTAGTCAATTTAACAGTAAACAGTGCGAAAATCAAGGTTAATGGGATTAATCCAAGTCACAATCACATGTACATTCTACAAATGAAGGTTAGTTAAAATATAACTTTGTATTGTAATCTCTCTCTCTCTCTCTCTCTCTCTCTCTCTCTCTTTTTTTTTTTTTTTTTTTCCTTCTTCCCCCCCCCTGTACCTTAGGGCAACCCTATACCAGCGGTACATCCAATTTTCTAACTGAAAAATATGCCAGGAATTTAAAGGGCCCGGTCACCAGGATTGGTAACCAAGCGGGCAGGTCTGCTCTCACTTTGATCCAAATTCTTGGGTCAAAGTGAGGCAAAATTCGGTCTTTTAGTTTGATTGGGGCATTAATTATTACGGGTAAACCTACACTAATGGGCTGCCTGCAACTGGAGGGCTGTTCCCACCAAACAGGACTCCAGTAACTTCCTACCTACTTATTGTGGGCCTATTACTAAGTTTATATATACTATTTCTAAATCTTATGATAACTATAAATGTATGTATTTGGTATATCACCGGTTTATTCTTTCCTCTCTTGCTATTTTTTCATGGAATATCCTCCTGGCGTATTTCTTAAAGGCATCAAATATCTCAGGTGTCTCCACAAGCTTGTCCAGAGACTGAGGAGGCCATTCCAACATGGAGTACTCTCCTGCCAATGCTTGTCGGGCGCCAGTGTACATTGGACATTCCAAAATTATGTGTCTAGCGTCCTCAACAGCCCCGCAGTGACAATTCGGACTGGCTCTTCTATGAAAAAAAATGTAATTTTTCATTTATGTCTCCATGGCCTGTGAGGAGTTGAACTGTCCAGAAATCCGTCTCCACCCAGTCATTCTTCTCCTGACATCTGGGAAGAACTCATGGGTCAGTCTTCCAGTCTCGCATGCATCCCACCTTCTCTGCCATTCAGAAAGGACTAGTTCTTCTATTCTGTTGGCCACCTCATCGTACCTTCCACTAGGGCACACAAAACAGCTTGTTCCCACATTTGCTGGCACTCCTCTCTTTATTCTATATTTGGCTATAGATATTTGTATTTTCAGGTCTATAGGCAATCACCTCAAGTAAATATAAAGTGTAACGACATAAATATAGACATATATTGTGACATTCTACGATATCATGTCTGAACTGGTCCCATCTTGTCTACCTCAAGTAAATATAAAGTGTAACGACTAAAATATTTATTATTGCAAACGAATATAAATTATAACAATGAAATATACACATATATTATTACAAATGAATATAAACATAAATAGTAACGAATAAAATATATATTATTACAAAAGGAATATAAATTATAACAATGAAATATATACATATATTCTAATAATTTTACGATAATATATCATAAAATTAACAACAACGTCATCACCCCTCCTCTCCCCCCTCCCTCTTCTTCTCATCAACTTTTATATATTGTTTTTTTTTTTTCATAAATATCAAAACGTATTTAATAATCTAAGAATATACATCTCCAATATCACGAATATTGTAATAAATCGAAATTCGATTAATCAATCTTAAAACTAACATAATTTCCGAATTCTACACCTATAATAACCTAATAGTAGACTCTAATATCGAAAAAAATAAATCATAAAGTTAATATACGTAATATTATTTTTATAACATATGTTATATAGAAGGCCGTGGAGAGTATCTGGCACTTCGAATAATCATAGACTCCAATATCAAAGAAAGTTTTATTAAATCAATCTTAAAACTAATATCATTTTCGAATTTTACAAACATAATAACCTAATAGTAGACTCTAATATCGAAAAAAATAAATCATAAAGTTAATATACGTAATATTATTTTCATAACGTATGTTATATAGAAGGCCGTAGAGACTACAGCTGCGTTAGGCGACAAGTCTCTTCACGTTTGAACATGCATAGGCATGTAGGGGGACAAGGTCCACTGCGAAGGAAGCGGTAGGGTCGGAAGAGAGTGGTGGGGGAAACCATCAGCCAATCAGATTCGAGGATTCTCGTCACGTGACCCTAGGTTGATATATTTGTTTTTCATACCCCTCTTGGTTCGTCAAAAAACATGTTTTGACATAAGCCTCCTCACCACGTCAAGGTGGGGGTATTTCGAGGTTTTTTTTTTTTTTTTTTGTTTTTACATATTTTCCAACACACATACATTGGTTTACGAGTAAATCAATACTACGACAGTGACCAAATCAAACACATACACATACATGCACACATTGGTTTACGAGTAAATCAATACTACGCCAGTGACCAAAATGCAAAAACAAAAAAAAATTAAATAAAATAGAAATTAACTAACTTCTTCAAAACAGAAAATTTATTCCAACAAAAGAAAAAAAATTATATGAAATCCACTTCATATCTACCATTGATTAGTCCTCTGTAAATTATGTTTATTCTTTTTTCACAGTAATTGTATTCGTTTAACTTTTCGTCAGTTAAGACTTCTGTAAATCTTTTAGGCATGAAAACACAGTGTGGATGAATATCATAAATGTCGGTAGGACCGTGATATTTCAGTTGTGCAATAACAGCAACACCATATATCGTGATGATTCTTTTAAATTTCACGACTTCATAAGTGAAATCTACCTTCATGTCTGATATCCGTCCTATACCTTCACCTTTTCGATTGACGTCATTGAGGAGAGTAGCGAGACTAGCCATGTTAACTGCTTGAGCTTCGACTACACAATGACTGAAGAGGAGCTCTGTGTAACCTCCCTTTACTCAGTAAAACAAGTCTATACAAGAATAACTCATGTTTACACATGTCCGTATCCAAAATGAATGGTTGGGGAAACCATCAGCCAATCAGATTCGAGGATTCTCGTCACGTGACCCTAAGGTTGATATAATTTGTTTCATACCCCTCTTGGTTCGTCAAAAAACATGTTTTGACACGTCAAGGTGGGGGTATTTCGAGGAGGTTTTTTTTTTTTTTTTTTTTACATATTTTCAAACACACATACATTGGTTTACGGGTAAATCAATACCTCGCCAGTGACCAAATCAAACACATACACATACATGCACACATTGGTTTACGGGTAAATCAATACCTCGCCAGTGACCAAATTATACATACTTTTGGTTTACGAGTAAATCAATACCTCGCCAGTGACCAAATCAAACACACACACACACATACTTTTGGTTTACAGGTAAATCAATACCGTGCCAGTGACCAAAATGCAAAAACAAAAAAAAAATCTGTTGAAAATAAGAAATCAAATTAACATAGAATAAATAACAAATTGAAACATTTTTTTTTTATATTTTTATATATATATATTTTTTTTATTATCAAATTATAGAAAAACTAAACAAAAGTTATAAAAATTTGAAAATCAAATCGTAATTCGAATATACCCACTCTGCTAGTATATGCGAACGATAATATGAACACATTAATTTCAAGTCTCTATGAGTAATACATGGAACTATTTGTATACTTTGCATATTATCAATTCGAGGACATTTATATTCCTCAAGATTGATAATTTCACACGAGTGCAAAAATTGTAACAAAAATTCTTTTTTTTGCTGTCCTTTTACAAAAATATATTTATAATTTAAATCGATATTATGAAAAATCGATGATAAATTGTGATAGGGAACATCTCCTTCATCCCAACTTAGTAAATGATAATTTTTCGAAAGCCAGCGGTTCGTTTTCATGCTTTTAGCACTGGTAAAAACCGCATGAGAAGGTGGTTTGAAAATCCAATTGCTGGCTGCATTATATTTTAAATCGAAAATCGATAATTCTTTAACTATATAATTATTTGCATCATCTACGAAGCATTGAAGTTCCACAACCGCACCGTTTGATGACATGATGAAAACTGAGAATAAATTACAATGAATCCCTTTATTATTACTTATACCCTTTTTCTTATAATACTCGTTAAAGGGTTGTACTCTACAACGCTATCGTGTATGATGAGGCAGAAAGCAGTTGTTTCAGGCGGAAAAGGTTTGGAAGAATCGAATTCTAACCTCACATCGACCGGTCCGGACTTGATAGATTCCGATTGTTTAGAACAATCTATTACGATAACCGGTGCTTTTTCTTTAAAGTTTTTTAGGGAAAGGAGTGGCTCTGAAGGATATCTTCCAGGATAGTAAGAATTTTGAAGATTATTATACATGTGATATACAGTGTTGGGCATTTACTCGAGTAAATGTCGAGCAGTGACGTCACGAGTGATCACTCTTGGAAGCTTAGCCATGAGTAATTTTGAAAATTACTCGTGAAATATTTTTCCTTCATGAGTAAATCACTCGTGAAAAATGTTATCTCCATGAGTAAATTACTCATGAAAAATTTTAACGCCAGGAGTAATTTTGAAAAAAAAATGTTTTTATTTTATTTAACCTAATTTTTTTTTTCACCTTTCCGATTTATTCAATATCGGGGTCGACATATATGTTTCGGGGGGCGCTTTTTATGAAAATGATATCCAATTTGAGATTGGGCCCCCCCGCCCCCGTTTTTTTTTAACTTTTGGGATTAAATCGATATCAGGGTCGACTTATAGGTTTTGGGGGGCGCTTTTTATGAAAATGATATCCAATTTGAGATTGGCCCCCCCGCCCCCGTTTTTTTTTAACTTTTGGGATTAAATCGATATCAGGGTCGACTTATAGGTTTTGGGGGGCGCTTTTTATGAAAATGATATCCAATTTGAGATTGGACCCCCCCGCCCCCGTTTTTTTTTAACTTTTGGGATTAAATCGATATCAGGGTCGACTTATAGGTTTTGGGGGGCGCTTTTTATGAAAATGATATCCAATTTGAGATTGGGCCCCCCGCCCCCGTTTTTTTTTAACTTTTGGGATTAAATCGATATCAGGGTCGACTTATAGGTTTTGGGGGGCGCTTTTTATGAAAATGATATCCAATTTGAGATTGGGCCCCCCCGCCCCCGTTTTTTTTTAACTTTTGGGATTAAATCGATATCAGGGTCGACTTATAGGTTTTGGGGGGCGCTTTTTATGAAAATGATATCCAATTTGAGATTGGGCCCCCCGCCCCCGTTTTTTTTTAAC